ATATTATATATGATATATTATATATGATATCTTATATATGATATCTTATATATTATACATGATATATATATATATATGATATATTATATATGATATACGATATATATCGATATACGATATATATATATATATATCGATATATGATATATATATATCGATATATGATTACAATGATTACAATGATTACCCTCCGGTGGCACACGGCGGGCTGGAAAATCCCATCCTTGCTCCTTGGGTGCTCCTTGGGTGCTCCGACTAATGTGCGATTTCTGCTCCAAAGGTAGAGGCAAACCAGCCTTTGCCCTCAGTGTGGCAAATGATTCTGATCCAATCCACCGTGAAAAACAGGCGAAGTTATCGAAGTTCTTAAACCACCTGGGTATGGGTCCAGATGTTTCTTCATCTTCCTGGTGCTTAGTAGGGAATGAGGGAATGATCCACAATAACTATGAATAATCATCCCATTCCCCCATTCCCATCCATTCCCTACTAAGCACCAGTAAGTCATCTTGGGATCTGAACTTGCGGAAGTCTCTTCAGAGGGAGAGAGAAAATAATTCAAAATAATTCAAATGGGTCTGTCCATATACATTCATTGAATTCTGGGAATAAAGCAGCATCTGGGTTTGTCTGAACATTTGAATGGGGAATGGGATGATTAAGAGGTGCATGACAAAGGGACATGTACAGGAACCCCTTATTTGTGTGGGAGCAAATAATGGTGTCTTGATGTTTCTGGAAAAAACATCGATGACTATATGGTGTCTGGAAATCCTGGCCCGAAAGTTTTATTTTTTGATACTTGATGATACTTGTATCTATTATCTATGGACATCCACTTTCTAAAAAGGAGCTATATACATAGCAATGTAAAATTTTGCACACATCCGAATTGTCTGGACAGTAAATTCACCGAACGGGTGTACCGCATAGCAAAACCCCGTATAGTTTCTACATGATCTTTGGTTCATGCATCAGCAAATCTCTCTAGTGAATCATACAATCACAATGATACGGAACATACATGAACATACAAACCTGTGGAAAGGCGACTCAAACACCATTCTCCAGAAATTGAAGGCAAAAGGCCAATGAAAACACACGCCTCATTTATCTATTTCTCCAACAACGTTTTGAAATGGGCTGCCGGTTATTTATCATCGTTTCTCAATCCCCTCAACCTGCAGACCCACAAACGAAAGATTCAACTTGGCGGTTGCTGTTGCAGTGATGTTGTGCCGATTTCCCTAGGATTAATATGGCTATGGCTCAGAATCCACTAAAAAAACTCGGACATGTGAACAATTTTCATGACTTACAGTAAGCCATGTTGAAGTCATGTTTTAAACACCATGTTTTTGGCAAAATGTTTTCTGCGATTTGAGCCTTCCCCAGCTATCCCAGCTATCTGCGGATGAAGGTCATCTCCACTTCTAATTCTCGCATCCTCGAAACATCCAACATGCCTGCGCCGTGGATCACGTTTTTTTCGGCTGATCCATACCGACCCTGAAACAACTTTCAGATGGCTATTACAAGTGACACAGTGGTGAGATCGTTATAACTCAGCCAGTCTAGACTCCGTGATATTCCCATTATATCCATTTTGTTGTTGGTAGGACCTAGTTATACCCCCTTACCCAGATGAATCGCTATATTTATGGTTACTAGTTACATCGAAGGGGTGAGCCTCCCACCGTTCCCAACCTCCCAGAAGACTGCCATGTGCTGTTCCTGCTGTCCGTCAACGATGGATTTGTTACCTATCTTGCCGACCAAATTGAGGCCTTTCGTATTATTTCTACCCTCCGGTGTCATCAAACGTGGCAATTGGAAATCCACTAGAAATGGGGGGCTTCAATAGGAAAATCACCTATAAAGCCTATAAATAGTGTATTTTCCATTGCCATGTCTGAATTATGTGGGAAATGCATGGAAATGCCACCATTGCAGTGATTCCCTTTAAAGGAACGAAGCTCCAGGGCCGTTGGTTTTTGGGAGTTCTTTGGGGCTTGGGCTGAAGAACAACTGGCTCTGGCAGTCGAACGTGTCATTTTAAATCCTGCATTTAAAGATGATCCACTAGGTAGTTATTAATGAAGAAACCGACTTTACTAGCCATCAATCCAAGATCACCAATATCATTCCTAACTGCCAGTCATCCTAACTTCTACCCGTGCATCCCAGTTGAAAATCATGAGTAACCAAAACAAACCATAGCATACCGTTGCCATATGTTCCATCTATGGCATAGTTACCAAAAATTACCCTCAAAACGTCCACAAATATACCAGCACCATGGAGCATGTATAATATCAATTCATATTCACAATAAGATGCTACAGTACAGGTTATATCCCCATGATATTCCTATGAAATATTCCCATATCTGAAACCATCCACCAGTGCAGGTAATGGTGTAATGTGTATATATATATGTATAATCATCCTGAAGTTGATAGAGTACGGGATTGTCAAACATCGTCCCAGTTTTAGCGAAGAGTTGTTGCTTTGCTTCCATACTCTATCACCCAGAATTCTCAAAAATATCACTCACTATAACATACTATAACCCAGTTTTGATATACACCATATAAATATATAATCATATGATCACCACCCTTTTAAAGGGGGTGACGGTCCGGGTGACGTACCCAAAATGTAAGCTACATTTTTCAAGGTGTTTTTGAGGAGGGCCTTGAAAATGTAAGCTTACATTTCGAAGGTATTTTGACGACCCTCCCCACAAAAACGATACCTGGGGGACGTTCAGTGACCAAATTTACATTTAAGGGGGGGTCCCAAAAAATGTATCTTACATTTTGGTGTGGTCCTGAAAAGTAGCCTTAAAGGGGTGGTGATATTATATGATATTACATGGCTTAGACGACCCACTTCTACCAATGGCCCAATGCAAGTAGCCCAGATCCTGGGAATGGCATTGTCAGGACCAAAGCTGTGAGCCCCAAAAGTGCGGCTCCTGGCGATGGCCAGGCACATCGCTGTTGGGACATAAGTTGATCTATAAGTTGGCTAGCTAACCCTTAAAAAAACAACTTACAGTAGAACATTTACCAACTGATAACCCCTAGGTAAGATGATATTTATACAAGTTGATACTATACTCCCACCCCACTACACTTAGAGATATCCCAGTGTTGCGAGCCAACTTCCCGGCATCGGATCATCACTCGTTTGGGGGTCCCGAGTCGTGTCTCCCAGCCTATTCTGAAGCCAAGGCGACTTCGTCGACCTTGGACCTGGAGGGCCTGGCAACCCGATCACCAGGGGTACTATCCAGCTACGCTTCGTGGGATCCTGCAAGTGCCAAATACCTGCCACTTGCAACTAGGATACAGCTTGGGAACTTATTCACAGATTTCAACAGAGTCCTGTGAAGTCAAGGGGGTTCAAGCACCAACCTTCAATGGAAACAGGGGCCCTAACCCGTTTCTCCATACTTCAGCGACCATGTCACATCGTGATACCGCCTCGTCTGGGCACTCCAGCATATGCAGCTCCTGCTCCAACGTCATGGGAAAATTGCCACAACTTACCCATTTTGGACTAGTCACCCGTCATCTTTGGACAAACCCAAATGGTGCAGTTGTTTTTGTTTTTTTTTCCTTGCTAGTTGCTGCATTTTGGAACTAAAATCTCTGATTTGCGTGCTATTTGCTGCATTTTGGAGCTAAAATCTCACATTTGCATTCTATTTGAACAAAAGCCACGTGATACCAAAAACAAAAGCCAAAAGCAAAAAGCCAAGTGAAACCAAAACCAAAAGCCAACAAAAGCCAAAAGCCAAAAGCCAAAAGCCAAGTGGGCATGCAAATGGGAGATGTTAGCTACAAAATGCAGCAAATAGCACACAAATCTATTTTCTATGTCGCTCTCTCTGTCTATCGAGGTTTTGTTCGCTCTATCTCTTTCTCCACTTGTAGGCGTTCTCACTAGTTTTTGTTCGCTCTATCTCTGTCTCACGTTGTCGGCGTTCACCTGTATAGGAAGTGTGTCAGAACTTAACAACTCCCGTGGTCAGAACTGGTGTAGATTGTGTTCATACTGAAGTTGTTTGTTAATCATGTATATACCTAAGTGCGCGTTATCCCTCTGTCTCTATCTCTCTCCATTTCCTTTTCCTTCTCTATTGATCTACCTATCTATCCATCTATCTGTCCTTCTATGCATCTTCCCGGCCATATATCCATCTGTCTATCTGCCCGTCTGCCCTTCTGTCTGTCTATCCAGCAGTAGCTCTCTCTCTCTCTCTCTCCCCCGCTCTCGCAAATACAATTCTTCTTTCTTCATATCCATCGATTCATCTTTCCATTCATGTCTCTATTTTCTATTTCGCTCTCTATCTCTCTAGCTTTTGTTCGCTCTATCTCTGTCTCACGTTGTCGGTGTTCACCTGTATAGGAGTGTGTCAGAACTGCTATATAACACTCCCGTGGTCAGAACTGGTGTAGATTGTGTTCATGCTGAAGTTGCTTGTTAATTTCTGTACCTAAGTGCGCGTTATCCCTCTGTCAACTAATTTCAATCTTCTGGCCAAGCTTTGGATTTGGTTTTCTCGACGAACTTTCGTCTTGGTCTGAAAAAAATTACACTAACAAATGGTTAACCTGTGCTTCCAAAAGGTGATGCTTCTCAAGCTAATCAAAATGTCCGAAAATCACCAGGTCTAGAGCAACTACATATTTCTCTTTGGTTTTGAACAAAAAAACAGCAGATCGGACCATTTATGCGTATCCCTTCCTCACTCGAGTTTGCAACCAGCATCAACAGTCTCACATGATGTAAATCATTCAACGCGTGTTTCGGACGTAAATGGCTAGTTTTTCAATACCTGTGAAATGGTCTCGACGAAACCCATTTGAGGCTAAATGTTGTTCGTTGGGATTCAACTGCGCCAACTGGGGTCTGGTTATGACTAACATAGCCATGGCATAGATGGCCCATAGGAATAGATGGTTTACCTATTAAAAATGGGGATGTTCTATAGCTACATTAAATAACCAGAGGGTAAATAATGGATGTGGCATTCGCGCAGTTAACCAGTTATATTGCTGTGCAAAACACTGATCCGAAAGAAGGGAGGGAAACCAACTGGTAAGAACATCTCACCGTCACATTCCACCAACTGCTGTTTTCTTGCGCAGGGTTTGGACATGCCAGCAATATAATATATAATTATATATATATATATATTTTCTCAAATCAAATATAGCACCGGATGTGCGCTGCGGGTAATACATGCACACGCAGGAGGAGTACGCAAACGCCAGCGCACCACACCCGAGCACTCGGATCCCATAGCAAAAATGTATATATTCTATCTGCAGTCCCTTTAGCAAAATAGCAAAGAAAGCTGCATCAAACTGAAAAACAAAAAAACTAAAAAACAATCAAAAAACTATACCTTCCAAACCCAACCAAATCTCATAGTTGGATATGGATAGTGTATTATATATATATAAGTTACTTGTGTATAATATATATGTATATATATATATACTGTATATGATGTTTACTATTGCATCCCAGCACATCTACATCATGATTGGTCATATCACCCATTGACCAAAAAGCAGTGTTGTTCCCAGGCACATCCAAATGGTTTTGTCTGAAATCTTGGATGAACACCTTCATTTCATCCCACAGGTTAAAACCTCATTTCCCCATTAAACAATGCGATAAGTTGGGTGGTCAAACTCCGTGTATTCAAAAAGCCACATCACATTGTCGCTTACATCGCAGTGTATTCCCATGGTGTCCCCATGATGCGTGGTTTAATCCCGCGTTATATCCATGATTCGGTTGTAAAATGCCAACGAAAATAGGAGGTAAATTCCATGTTAAAAACATTTAACAAAATCTACACCAGCTAAAAACCTTCACTTTTTGTTGGCTGCATCCCCACTGAAAACCCCAAAGTTTTGCCACCCATTTTGGAGCCCAGAAAATCATCCGTCCTCCGCATCTACGGCAAGGGTGCTCCCCACCATGGCATCGGAAGAAAGTGGACGCTGAACTTCGCAGCGGCGCACTGTTTTTGACGCTTTTTGAAGACTCAAAATTGGCTGAAAAATGGAGGTTCGGGTGGTCAAAACTTCAGGATTTAGTCAAACAAGTTGTGTAACATCATGCAATCCAGTCCTGAGCCGCAAAGACCGCAGGCCAACGAGGTCTGGCTTAAGCCACTCGTCACAATGGATCGCTGCTTGGGGGTGCATCCCACTAAGTGGATGATAACCATATTCTACTCCAGCTGCATATGGAATATCGTTAGACATGGGCTACAGTACGGTTACGGTGTAGTTATAATGGGTCACAAATAGATTAGAGACCACTTCTTACCTGGGATGTCCTAAGTGGATCTAAGTGGTTTATCCTGGCTCCCTACCGAGCTGTACATTCTGCCCCTGCTGAAAACTTCGCAGATCAGAGATCGACACGTCAAGAAACGAAAAGATTCCATATGACTAATGTGGTAAACCCAATGCCATACCAGTACTGGGGTCGCAGAAATAGAGATGCAGTAAGTTACTGGTTGGCGGTGCAATCACTATCTTGAAAAATATGAGTTCGTCAATGGGGTTGGCATTATCCCATATATGAAATGGAAAATAATCCAGTCATGTTTGAAACCACCAACCAGGGTTATGTCGTTCCCCAGTTGGGGAAAGCTACGGCAAAAAGTTGGAGCCGTCTCCGCTGGAAATCGGCCAAATCTCTGGTGATAGCCATGAGAATGTCTAGACAAACACCACAGAGGCGGCAAACAATTGTGGTAATGATTGGTAATGTGTATTTTGAGGATCAAGATGGATCAAGGTAGCTATCCCATGCTCAGCTAACAAAAAAGTTGTCTTCCTATTCTGATATCAAGAAATTCGTTCGGTGGTTTCAAGTTTCAAGCGATAGCCTTGAGATTCACTATCCCAAGCAGAAACCCATCTTGTAAACATACAAAACTCATGAGTCAAACAAGGATGGACCATGAAACGAAAACTACACTCTCGGTATTGAAAGCATCGACCCACAAGAAAAAAACAACTCATCCAAACATATTCTTAGTGAACCTAGATATCAACCAACCTGAGCTGCTTTCAGATGTCCTTTTTCATGGAAACATCGTCGGGAAACCACCACCTTCGTGGTGGCTGTGGGACTTCTGCCCGAAAACTGGCTGCCTCCTGGCCGCGAAAAGAACATCAAAAAGAACAGTCCAACTCCAATCAAATGGGCATCTCTATATATATATATATGGGCATCTAAATAAATAAATACATATATATATATATAATTATATATATGGGGAAATTAAAACAATTCACTAACCTGAATAGTTCGGCCATATTGGGATGATTCCCCATATAAAAACCATGATTCCAGGGCTCAGGAGAACAGTGAGGTTGTGATGAAATTTACCCAGATATATGGACTGATGATTAAATTTAAAAAAATGATATGGGTTTGTCAAAAATCCTCCTCATTTTCCCCCTTAAAATGTATCTCCCTAGGAAAGCTCCATCTGTGGGCTTTCTCCGCTTTTCACCCATCGGATGAAGAAATTCCCCGGCCTCAGCTGGCGCTGGCCAGCCCGCCGGCTCCCATCGGTGGCGCAGCCCGAAGGCCACCTGTGATTTTATCACTGGCGAAGGCCACCATGATGATCCCCCCTTTTTTGGGCATATGAAGAATCTGGTTGGTGATATAGTGTTAATATTAATGGTGAATTTTAATGATTATGATGATGGTTAATGATGGTTAATAACTATATTATATATATATATATTAAAATATTAGGGTAATTTATAATATCGCACTAACCTGAATAGTTCGGCCATATTGGGATGATTCCCCATATAAAAACCATGATTCCAGGGTGAGGGAGAACAGTGAGGTCGTGATGAAATTTACCCAGAATAATAGATCCAATACTAGACCATGGTTTCTAAGGGGGTATTTAACCTTGGGAGGGATCGTTCACCCTTGAGTGATTTTGTTGCCCAACATGCTCCGTAATAAGGATAACGCTTTAAAACATAACTCATATTTCCAGAGATCATTCTTGGCAGAACAGGTCCTATCGCGTTTTCGTTTTCTGCAGTGGCCCTACTTTACCAGCCCAATTACAAGTTAGTTATAACATGTTATAACATCTTATAACCCCGTTTATATCTGGTTGGTGGTTTTAATCATCTTGAAAAATATGAGTTCGTCAATGGGCTTGGGATTATCTCATATATGAAATGGAAAATAAAAGTCATGTTCCAAGCCACCAACCAGATATACATGTTTAACTGGTAACGTTTAAAGGGCCATAACTGGTTTGTTCGGACAAACCTGCCCTTCCCCTTGAGAAAAAAACGGCCTGGCCCCACCCAGCCTAGAGGCGCCAGGTCTCATCTTCTCTTGCTGGTTGTATGATCCCTACATCAAGCCACAAAAAATTGGACATCAAAGCTAACAAACATTAGAAAAATGTCAGTATTTCTATGTATTTCTTGTATTTTGATGTCCACCAAAAATGTTTAAACATCGCCTTTACCAGAAATACTTGACTTTCTGCGATCACCGCAATATAGATATCCTCCGGAAATCTTAACGTTGCGAAAATGGCTATCTAGTTGATTTACCTCTTATAAATGCTGATTTTCCATAGTTATATTAGTTTACCAGAGGGTATCCTCAGATATTTATTCTGACATTCAAAACAAGGTGGTGCTCCCCCCAGTTATGTGTGCTAGTTTAATAACCATAGAAAGTGTAGATATATCTACCATAAACCATAGCTGGTTGGTGGTATACCTACCCCTCTGAAAAATATGAAAGTCAAATGGGATTATTGTTCCCAATATACGGAAAAATTGTCCAAATGTTCCAAACCCCCAACCAGATATATTGTTATTCCAATTATTAACCATTATTAACCATAGATTAACCATAGATTACCCAGGAAAATTCCAGATAGTTATTGGGGTTACAAACTTCTGGGGCGCCACCTTGAACTTTCCAAGTCGCGCCTGCCGGGGCAGCGCGCTGCGGCGCGCGCCCCATGTCGCGTGGCGCAGCTTCGCTACGTCGGGGTGGGACCGCGAGGCCCACGGAGCCCGCACTGGGCCTGAAACGTCTGATGTGTCTTTCATGGCATGTTTCACCAGTGAAAATTGGGCTTAAGTGGAAGATTATGAGATGATAATGGGAATATATGGAATATATCATATCATAAATGTATTTATAACATTATATAACCATACAATATCTCATCAAATCCCATCAAATCCCATCAAATCCCAACAAACCCTATGAGATAAATATATAACCGTCAATTGTTATAGGCTTTCTTGAAAATTTCATGGGATAACCAACTACAACGAAGCATTGGTATAGGAAAAATCATGATAAATCACTGGTACTGCTGTGAGACAATCAATGTCTAATGTCCATCACTTGGGCGGAAAATCACTGGATTTTGGGGCACCCTGTTGTCAGACAACCGGAAAATCCTAAGTCTTACAGATTGTGCTCCACTTGCTAAGTGGCATGCACATCCAGGTGCAGTCCCAAAGATTGGGGTCTTGGCGCCATAAAATGCTGTTTGATGAGTTTTGACCCCCGTAAAAAAAGATGAAAGTAGTTCGGAATCATGAACAACAACAAAAAACAAGAACTAAAACTAAAAAACAATCAAAAATCCAAAAGAATCATCATCATCATCATCATCAGCATAATCACAATTGGTAGTAGGAAGAAGCATGCAAAATATTAGTCACAGCACCAAGCAGGCATCTGAGGCAGGTATTTTCGGGGGTTCCAGGGCAGAGATCCAATCGCACAGAGTGAGTACAGTCGGTATAGTGTTGAATGAGCTCATTTCATGGCCCAAAAGTGTTGCAAGTGTATTCGATTGCTCAATTGCATTGCTAGCAAGTTCAAGAGAATTTTACTGAAGCCCGAGATCTGGATGACAAATCATGCAGGTGCCCCACACTTGGCCAAGTTTGTTTATAATCCGCATTGCATTACATTATATTGTAGGTAGATAGATAGATAGATAGAAAGATAGATAAAGATAGATAAAGATAGATAAAGATAGATAAAGATAGATAAAGAAAGAAAGAAAGATAGATAGATAGATAGATAGTTGACTTATTTTCATGTTATAAACCGACTTAGCTACCCTTTTGGGGCACCATCTTGCAATATGGAATTCCCCCCATATGATTCATTGAGTTGATGGATAGACCGGCTGGCTTTGTCCTTACAAAAGCATGATGTTCTCAGCCATGAGACGCAGGTAAATAGGATAATCATATAACAAATTACTTGCATACACACTTGGATTCTTGGACCAAGCAATTTTTTCTCGTCTCCGCTGAAAATGTCTCGCGCAGCCCCAACATCCTCGAGGACACGCGTCTCCTGCGAGGCACGTTGGCCTGTAAGGCCTGCGCCAATTTTTGGCGCAGCAGCAACTCGTGCCTCAATGGGATGTAGGGGTTGAAAATCAGATATGGACTGGGACCATTATAGTGATATATATTGATAATATCTGATAATATACTGATAATATACTGATCATATCTGATACACCCCATTGTTTTACAGCAAATTTTGTGGATCTAAGTGGACATCCAGTGGGATGTCCATGAGAATAAAGGTTTCATCATGTCAAACCTCCACCCTGCAGAGAGCTCTATAGCTAAGGAACATCATACTAACATAATAAGAGCAACGTGGTAAACCCCTTTATGAATCGTTTTCATGGTATGGTGTATGAGGGAAAAATTGGGCAACTGGGGATGCTGCATGTTTGTTTCTTCCAAATTACACCTCTGACGATATCAAGCTCAAATATGATCATGTATGTCAGTCCTACCTAGACCCCACATGACCCTTATTGTGCAAGTGTTGATCCACAAAATGGTAGCATCTACCATCCAAAACAGTCCCTTCAAATCAAAGCACCCAGAATCTCTGCTTTCCTATTGGATCTGTTCGGGTTTGAGGAACAAAAAGCAGGGAATTCATAGTTATAGTCATAGTCTGCATTATCATCAAATCATATCCCATTCAGCTATATATATATTATATTATTATGTATATATATATATACAACTTTACCCTGTTTCATGGCCATCTTGAAAAATCTTCATATAAAAAATCTCGGTTTCACCATGTTTCACGGCCATCTTTGGTTCCCTCCCCCGCGTCGTCATCGAGGTGCTCGGCGCGCGAGGCCGAGGCTCCCGAAGAGCCTCGGCTCCATTCGCTGCGCAGGAGGACTTCCAGACGCCAGCCGGGAGTCTCCTCCAGCGGGAACCTCCGACCTGACCTTAGAGTTTGGATATCTTTGGTTATTATATGGTTATTATATGGTTAATGATGGTTAATAATGGTTAATAATGGTTAATAATGGTTATTATATGGTTATTATATGGTTATTATATGGTTATTATATGGTTAATGTATTGTTTCTATATGGCTAATGATGGTTGATAATAATCTGGTTGGTGCTTGCAACCTACCCCTCTGAAAACTATGAAATTAGTCAATGGGCTTGGGATGACATCCCATATATGCAAAATAAAAAATGTTCCAAACCACCAACCAGTATAATCATATATAGAATATAGAATAGTTTGGACATGTTTCAGTCTATCAGTATTTATCCGCATGTACGTTTAGACATGTTGGGCCCCTGTTGGGCACATATTAATGATTGAATTTACTTTTTTGTGTCTATACATATTATATCTATATATATATATGTTGTATAAGATACTTTACAAATTCTATGATTGTTGAGGTTTTCACCCAAAACCAAGCACCGTGCCCCAGGTTTTTCATCAATTTTTGTGGGACCCAGAACCTGCAGCTGGATGATCTCATCCGTTGTCATCAAACGTGGTGCCCCAGTGATGTTTGTTGGTTTATAAACCCCATGAATATAGATATATGTACCAAAAACATCCATAAACCAAAGTTAATGAAGTTATTGGCACCAACTTAGCGTTCACGAACTGGGGCACCACAGTATATATATATATATATATGTACTATGTATATATACAAATGATGTATTTCCATTGCCATGCTTGATTCCCGGACGGTATATATAACAACCAGTCGACTGTGGCTATGAAACCATTCAGCAAGAAGCAGAAAAACATGGAATCTGTCATTGAAATCCCAAACAAATCCCGACTATCTGTCATATTACCATGTTCATCCATGTTCACCAAGTTATATCCTCAGATATCGCCATGTTTTTACCATGGTTCCGCCCCCATTTTTAAGTGGATACGAGTACTTAGTATTAGTAATACCCCAATGGATCAGAACCACCAGTCGGTGCATTACGGCTTTATCCGCATTATATACACATACAGATACATACAGTATATATATATGTATATCATTATATCATATTATATTACCACTTTTCCGTGTGAAATCCCTATTTAGGCCCTATTGTTCCCCAGCTTTTTGTGGTTAAGCCATCCAATACCCAAGGACCTCCAGCTGTGCGCGGTGCAACTGCATGACAGGACCTGGGGTCAATGGTGGCTGAGTGTTGAATGGTGGGTGAGTGGTTGAAAAAGTATGTTTGAAAGAACAAGTATATAGAATCAATGGATTGGATTGGTCTTCCAGGGGAAAGGAAAAATGGATGTTGTTTGAAACATGTTGAAACCATCGAATTTTCAACGTCGAACGGGCGTTTCAACCGTATGGCCCACAAATTCTGTAGGACAACCATCATCCAAAATCTCCCGTTCAGCTTTGCAGGGTAAGCAACAACACTGATGAAGGGTTTTTTGAACCCCAAAACCTGCGACTGTGGGGTTTTGCCGTTTAGGATCCCTAAGGCTCAATACCAACTACACTAGTCGACTAGACTGGTGGGAATGACCCACCTGATATCCATCAAGTCAACATCAAATCAAAGCCACCATCTGAGCATCGCCTGGTCGTCATGTCGACGTCGGCCCCATGAATCGAAGCAACCCGGCGGCCTTTTTTCCCCAGACCTTGAGAAAAGAATTTTGATCGCCCTATTCTCCATTCATTCATTTAATGGATAGATGATCCATTGTCCATAAAGGTATCCAGACATATCATCTGGTTGGTGGTGCAATAACCATCTTGAAAAATATGAGTTCGTCAATGGGGTTGGGATTATCCCATAATACTATCTAATACTATAGTATTATGGAAAATAAAAGTCATGTTCCAGTCACCACCAACCAGTCATAGTATCACTGATATCACTGGATAATCAGACTGCCGGGAGGCTGGTGGATGCCTCATCTTCCAAGCAGAGAATCATGATTTTCAGCTCCGAAAGGCACAGGGGGAGCTTCAAATGTCCTCCAGGCCAGCCAGCCATGGATGATCCTCGTGAAATCTATAGAAAATTCGTGGCATTTTAGAGGTCAACTAATGGAATGCTTGAGAGGGGGATCAGTTCATGGATTGTGATAATGCCCAATATACTATATGTATATATAATATATAGTTATTGAGTTGATACTAATAAATAATATACAAATATGTATTTTACTGAATTAATATTGTAATACTATTATTATTTCATTCATGATTACTGATTATCTTAATATATAAATATGGAGGGTAGAAACACCCCCTATGATCATCCACCAACTGAGTTCAATTTCAACAGACTCCCCCAAAATCCGGTCAAATGCGGAAAAAGTTGATGGTGATTTCATAAGAATGGATGATGCAAGGGGGTACCCCTATTTAATCAACTCAAAAGTTCCCTGGTTTCAGGTCTAGTGTTCCAAAATGCAAGCTACAAGTGCCAGAATCGACAGTCATTAGAGGAGCTGGCAATCAACGAATCGTTGAAACCATCAACCAGCCCTTTGGAGATATCCACAGCATCATCCAGCTTCTGATTCTTTAATCTACATTGTGGGTTCTTGGGAATTCTCTTAAAAACACATTGTGCTTGAAACTTAAAATTGGGTATCCCCAAATTCCATGGTTTACCTCATATTTGTCCATTGAAACTTCATGAAGCTTTTGGCTTTTTCATCCACGACAAAACCACAACGGTTGGGGATTCAACCGGTTCACTGCTCCTGCAGTTCT